TCATGCATGTTACACAAATAACTGGTGTTTCAAACACACATTACCTCATATCATGTCTCAGAGTGAGTCATTGTTGGGGCTTTTTTCTTGGTTGGTTTTTGGTGGGGTTTTCGGGTTTGTTTTGGGAGGTTTTTTGAGGGTAAGTCTCTAGCATGAACTGAAATACCAGCAAACTTTTTACCACACTGAAGTATTATGAAAAAAAGAAAAAAATTACTCAAAAGTATGTATTTTTAAGAACCTAACATTGACTAATCAGACAAATAAATTCCTTTCTTACACCTACAGTTTTGTGCATGTATTTCGTTGGGGTTTTATTTTGTAAGTAACATATAATGCCTCCTTCCCCTAGTGAAACAAAAAAATCAAAGACACAATACCTTGAAATAATGACAAAAAAAAACAGAATACAGGATGTCTTAGCTTAAATCTTTGACAATTTATACTACACAGATTCTTTCTCTCAGTTAGGATCTAAAAACAAGACAAAGAAAATGAGGAATGTATCCTGTATAGTGCATGAACGCCTAGTGGATGCTGTTTCACCTGAATAAAAAAAAAAAAAAAAAACCACAACAACAACACCCCAAAACAGTATATTGGTCAAAGAATTGTCTTACGTTGATGCAAAAATAGGTTATTCTTCTAAAAATGCCTTCTCATTAAAATAATGTTATTTGTAATGCTGATAGCATAATGTGGTTTTGTGTTAACATCTTTTATATCTGATTTCTTTCACTTCAAAAATACACAAGAATTAAACTGTCAAACAAACCCAGAGGTGGCTCAAAAAGGGAGTTTTACAGTGAGCAGAATCCTGTCCTGTGCAGCAGCTGCCCCCAACACCCTGTCCCTTTTCCAGGTGAAGGGTGATCGGTACTACCGTGCGGCCCAAGAAAACACCAACCTGTCATTTGGTTTAATTCCTGTCCCATGCCTTTTTCATAATTTTCTTTCGTGTGTAACGCCTGGTCAGGTGAGTAGTACAGATCATCAGCAACAGTAAAAACGTGTGCGGTCATCAGTGACCAAACTGAAACCATTTCCGTCTTGGAAATTCAGTGAAGTTTGGGTTTTGGTTTATTCTGTTTTCCACAGAGGTGAGGTCAGCACTTCCAAAAATGCCTCCGAGAACAGCTCTCCCACAGAACCTTGCCAGCGTGCTCCAGCTGCAACTTGGAGAGAGGACCAGGAACTTTACTTTGTGTCAGCTAGATGATTTTGCCAACCTGCCAAGAGCAATGAGGATGTCTGACGAAGAAAAACAACCCGTGCCAAAGCCCAGATGGAACAAATATTTGAGGGACTTTGCCCTTCTTTGGGACCAAGCTGTCTGCTGAAAGCTTGCCCTTCTCTGCCTAAACTCTTCTGAAATGAGAGGTACCTGGTGCTTCCACAAGCACAAATGACAAAACCCACTAAGATTCTTAGAGCAGGCAGGAAATCAGACCCCGGAGGTCTGCCGGAGCCGGGTACAAGTCACTTCAGAACCGCTGCAGGACGGTCTGCTGGAGGTCGTGGTTTCCTCACAGAACAGCAGCGGGCTTTGTACTGACCGCTGAAGGGCACTGAAATTGCTCCTGATCTATATAACCCATTAGAATACAACTTTTTGCATCGTTTAACAGACTACATCCCTCAAAACACACCTCCTCACAAAAAAAAAAAAAGGAAGACAAAACCCCTTCTGTGTAACTGGACTCCATCGGATTAGGAAATGGCTGATAAAGTGATGACTTAATTCTTAGTGAAAGAAAAAATAACAAGATATTGTGGCATTCTCTCAAATCAGAGAAAGCCTTTTTAAAGCAGAAAAGTGATGCAAAATCCATTCAAGAATATCAGGAATGTGGGCTGGAACAAGCAACCAAGACAATACGTTGTATCTGCAACCAGTGCATTTCCTTTGATTTATTTCAGCGTCTGAACACCACTGGCACCTCCTTAACCAGGCTGCAGTCTCACATTTCATTAGTGCTTCCTGACGAGCAAAGAATGAAATGGAACAATTGTCATAAATCCTCAAAACAATTGGAAATTGAACTGTACACACTATTTTAATGATTTTAAAACTTTTTTTTTTTTTTGGTCTTATTTTCTACTGTGGCAGCACAGCTGACAACAGCTTTTTTTTGTATTAGCTGTATTTTACACTGCAAATCAAAAAATGCCATGGTCCAATTCAGCGTTTCTTTGATAGGACTTGATTGAATACCGCATCAGAAGGCACACTGATACAGTATTAAGTAATGAAGTGCTTGTTCATTACTTAATTACTTGCATTTTTTAATTATGTAAATTAAGTGAGGTGTTTGAGACTTTTCCCTGACTCAAAAGTTGCACACAAGAGCCTGTGAATGGCAATCTGTGAATGAAGAAAGAGCAACTGAAGAGAAACAAGCTATCTTTCCTAAAAATACTATTACCTTACTGCATTTTTCTCTAAGGCTAACCAGCTTACCTTCTTTTTCTTAAAAAAAAAAAAAAAAAAGACGTATAAGTTAAATTTTCCAGATGTGGCAGACAACGGTATCAGTAAAGATTTACACACGAGCTGGCAGATGAAAAGCCAACTCATCCTTGCAGAAAAACCACACAGTCCTCCTCCATTTCAATAAAAACTATTAACCTTATTTTGTGGTTTTGTGTGATTACCTCATACAGGGACTTGCAT